GGCATGGTGGCGTGCTCCTATAATCCTAGCTATTCGGGAGGCTGAGGTGGAAGGATTGCTTTAACCCAGGAATTGCAGGCTGCAGTGAGCTATGATTATGCTACTACACTTCAGCCTGGGTGACAGTGACCCCATCTCAAACAATTAAATAAGATAAACTAAAATAGGTGAACTCACTAGATTGGCCAAGAAAATAAGAGAAGTACCCAAAATTACCAATTTCAGAAATGATAGAGGCTGTGGCTAAATATCCCACAGATATTAAAGGGTAATACATGAATATAATGGTCCACTTTAGACCACTAGTTCAACAACTAAGATAAAGTTGGCAAATTCCTTTAAAAACGGGCTTTCCAAAACATAAGAAAGCAAAAAGAAAAACTGAATATCTGTGCATCTGTTAAAGAAATTCAATTTGTTATCAAGAACCTTCTTACATAAAACCAATTATGTGAGAAGAACACCAATCTCACACAAGCTTTTTCAGAAAACAGAAATAGAGGAAGCACTTTCTAATTTATGAGGCCAACATAATACTGATTCAGAAATGAGGCAAAAATGTTACCAAAAAAAAAAAAAAAACAAAGAAGCAAATCACAGATGAAAATTATGGATCAATCTCTTGTGAATATAGATTAAAAAAATTTCATAAGATATTGTGCTAGCAAATAGAATTGACAAATATAGAAAGAATTATTTATTATGATCATGTGGGATTTATTCTAGGAATGCAGGGTGGTTTAATATTCTAATATGAAAATGCAATTTATCATATTAACAAAATAAAGAGGAAACACTTAAGATGACTTCAGTAGACATGGAAACAGCATTTGACAAAATTTCATACCCATTTATGATAAAAACTCAACAGATTTAACCCTTAATCTGCTAAATGCTATCTTTGAAAAATATATGGCTTCTATCATATTTAATGGCAAAATATTGAATCGAAATTTGGTTCACTCTTACCACATTTACTTAGCATTATATTGTGTCTTAGTGCAGTAAGGCAAGAAAAAAATAGAAGGCATACAGATTGGCAAGAAAGATGTAAGACTGCCTGTTTGAAGATGGCCTGATTGGCACATCCGAAAACAAGCAAAACGCCCCCCTGCCTCTCGAAAGGTCTTCCTGAATCTGAGTGCCTGTCTGGTGTCTTCTAGGAGAGGCTTTAGGGTCAGTCAGACATGGATTCAGATGCCAGCTTTTCCCGAGGTTGACTTCTGGTTTACAGGTGTACATGTTAAGGATTAACGTAGATAATGTGCACAAAAACTGGTACTATGTGCTTGGCCAAAAGCAAGGGCTAATATAATGACAGTAAGTAGAGTGTTACCACCATCCAGCCTGCCTTCTCCCCTTCTTGTCCATGCGACTTTAAAGAATACTTTATACACACTGCTGTCACTTGACTTCCCTGTACTCCTCAGACGTGTGTCCTCTTGAAACAACCTTTTTGAGTCACTTTCCAATTACTCTGTTAGACATATTTTTAATAAACCCCGTTCTAATAGGTATAACTGTTATTTGTCATTCTGAAAACTTCTTTTTTTTTGAGTTGGAGTCTCACTCCGTCGCCCAGACTGGAGTTCAGTGGCCGCTCCCAGCTACCGCAGCCTCGACCTGCTGGGCTCCGGCGATCCTTCCGCCTCAGCCTTCCGAGTAGCTGGAATTACAGGCCGGCTCATTTTGATTGATTGTAGAGATGAGGTCTCGCCGCCCAGGCGGGTCTCGAACCCGCGGGCTCAGGCAATCCACTCACCTCAGCCTCCCAAAGGCGCGGGATTACAGGCTGAGCCACCGAGCCCGGCTCTGAAAACTTATGATCTGTCCTTCTCATTGCTGTCTACCCTCAAACCTACCTTTCTAAAATATAAAACCTGATTCCCGCTACTTTTTGAAGACGTCGTGTGGCCCTTTCTTCCCTGGAGCACACAGGCGGAACTCGCTCACGCAGCACGTCTCCGCCCGCCTGCCTGGCACTTCTCCAGCCTCACTTCGCAGGCTTACCTGCTTTGCTGTGTGGTCGTCGGACTGGTACCCACCTGTTCCTCCATAGTGCAGTATCATCAGGGCATTCAGGGGACCGTTTTCAATGATTTAACGGCGCGTTTGTCCGGCACCGCACTGTGTCTTTGAGGGCAGAGACCCTTCCTTTCATCATTTTAGTTTTGGTAGCATCTGGCACAGATACTGATAAGCAGCTGGCATGAAAATGTTTTGAGTGAATAAATCAGTTAATAGATCATCATTATCAACCAGAAAGATTTTTAATTCATAAGAGAAGTTCTTGACTTGAGGAATTAAATTTATACTTTAGTCTTAAAATATATCAAACATTTGGCTTTTCTTTAGTTTCCTTATCATTATTGCACAAAACCTCATTCTTCTCTTCCAAACATTGATGATGCAGGTTTATGTTTTGTGCCACCTCATATTTTAGGGTAATTTGCTATTAGCAACATCTTGCAGTGTATTTTTGTGGGAAACAAGGATTGCATTATAAAAAATTTTTGTTCCAGAGATGCTTAACACATTGCAATTTTGCAGTAGGCTAACATCTTTAGAAAATGTCCAGTGTGTGAGAAATAGATTTGTTTCTTCTAGAAACAAGCTACTAAGATCTTAAGTCTCTTTAAAATTCTGTTCAGGTTGTTTTAGTTCAGATGCAGTTATTGAATTGCTTTTACCTAAAGTTCTGCTTAACTTGTTTAGAGTAGCGTATCAGACATTGCTAAGGTTATAGTGGTCCAAATCATTTCACATCTTAGGTAGAGGGAGGGTCCATAAACACCAATTGAATACTTCATGTATATATAATACAAAAATCCTCAACATATTTTCGATATATTTGATTTATAAAGATCACATATCTTTTTCTATCAAAGTGAACTTTTTAAAAGCTTTTTTGTAGTCTGGCATGTTCATAATAAATGGGAAAGATTCTTTAAATATAAAATAAAGGATTTATTTTTGGTAATATCTAAGTATTGCTGGACATTATCAAATGTTTGCATAATCAAATTATAAAGCATTTTTTAGGTTTATCTCTATATTTTCAGGACAAACTAAATTGGATTAAAAATAAGACTATAATGAAATCTGTTCATCTTTCTAGTTAATACCTAGTGATTAGTGAATTTGTTTATACCATGGTTTTTTGGGTGGCCATGAATCCTCTAGTTTCCCAGCAATTTAAAAAAAAAAATTTAATTGATAGACATATTCCTCAAGCATCTTTTCCTGGATAACTTTTTTTCCTTCTTCTCTATAGTGCATACTTCCCTTTAAATAGACATTCATTAAATGGCCACTAATTTGTTATATTTATTTAATTATTCTTTATTAGAACTTTTTTGCTATCCAAATAGGTAATTGCTTTAAGTCATGGATGATTTTCTTCTTGAATTGATTAGGCCTTCTTTCTTCAAGTTATGGAATATTTTATTACAGAAAAAAAATAGATGCTTTAAAAAAACTTGATGTGAATTCATTTCTTATCCAGAAATGACATTTGTTAAAAACCACTGTGTGTTAGATATATTAAAAGGTAGTCTTGTGGCCTGAGGGCAAGAATGTCAGAATTTATTATCTATGTAGCTACTTGTTATTTGTTAGGTAACACTGGATTTGGTATAATTAGGGGAGGAGATACAAAATGGACTCAACTTTCTAGGTCCTTAAACGAGGACTGTGGAACAAGGGTTATGTTGTTAAGTAATGTCTGAAGATTATATTGGGATTTGTAATGAGTAACATAAACCTGGAAATAAAAAATTACAAATCATTTCTGCTACCAACTTTCTGAGTGGTCTTTGGCCAAACCACTTCACTTGACCTCAACTTTTCTCATCTATTAAGTGAGAGATTGAATGAAATGTTCTTTTCATTTTTTTAGTTTTCTGATTCTAGTGAAAATTCTCAGTTTTTCTGATTCTCAAATTTTCTGAGTGTAATGAGAATTTTAAAAAGTGACAAGCAGAAAACTTAATGATTACAAGTATGTACAATTAATACAATGGAAGTGAAAGATGTAAGTATTGATAGATTATAGAACTTCTAGATGTGGATGGAGTTAATTGGAAAGCCTTCAGCCATGATGTGTGGCAAACTTGAAAATTAGAAAATGAGATAATGAGTAAGTGGAGGGAGAGAGATATGCCTAGGCAGCAGTCAGTTGAAGCAGCCCACAAGCGGATCTGATGGACTGATGTGGCAACTTCATGTTGGGGAATAAAGGAAAATGAGGCTTGGGAGGCTGTGAAGTCAAGAGCGCTGTCAATTAGGAAAATACCTTGAAAGTCATGCGAAGCAGTTTAGACTTGCGGCTTAGTGACAGGCAACCCTTCCATGCTTTTGAACTGGGGAGCCGAAGAATGACGTGTGCCTGGGAAAAGTATTCTAGTTGCTTTTTAGTAAGATGAAACGAGAGCAAGGAACTTAAAAGTTTTATGGAGAGACTAATTTAGTAAAATTGCACCAGAAACTGAGCTGGTTTTGAAAGGAAAAGCCATGTCTTTAAATTAACTGTAATATCTAGGTTAGTTAGGTTTCTAGTGAATGCTAAAAGGTAGTCTTGTGGCCTGAGGGCAAGAGTGTCAGAATTTTTTATCTCCCCAGAGTCCCTATGTACTATTCTCTAGTATTTTATACATATTAGATATAACAGTGCAAAGAATGAGGAAGATGGATTATTGAATTTTTTGTTAGAATCAAACTTTTCAAGAGATACATTTGAAACATTTTCCAAATCTCATGTATGCAGTGGTTATTATATCAAGCTTTGCAGTTCGTAGATTATTGTTCATGTTAACCTTTTTGTACATATCATATATGTAGATATATGATGTCACATTTGTGAAAATGAATTAGGCTTATTTAAAAAATTAAATTAGCCCTCATAGTCATCCAGCTACAAAACTGTCCATTAGTAACTCTTCCATGGATGTGGAAGAAGAAAATGAACCATTTAAATGACTGTCTTCTTTCTCCCTCTTTAGTCTTTCCTAGCACTGGTGAACTTATCGTCCTATCCTGCTTTCTATGAGCTTGTAGGCAATCAAGATCTTCCTAATAAAGCAGAATATTCTCTTCGTGAAGTCCCAACATGTGTTATTGTAAGTCATTTTCTTTCCATCTTTATTTTTTATAAATGCTATTATTTGAGATTTGTATTAAAATTCAATTAGACCAAAAACAGAAAAAAAAAAACACTATTTAAGGACATTTAAGGACTGCTTTGATTATGTATTTATGGATTATCATCTTTTGAATTATCTATGAATACAATATTTGATACAGGCCATCTAGTGCTCCCAATACTTATCAGAATACAATGCTCATGATCCCCAACAAGAAAAGAGGCTTGGCATAAATAGAAGTATATGTATGCATGACTTTTACATGACTCATTATGATATTGGTTATACTGGTACTGCTCCTTCATTGTTTAGGATAATTAGGAATACACTGTATCTAAGGAATCCACTACATTTTCTGCTTATATTTAATGAACTACATATTATTGCCCCATGAGGGCAGTATATACAAATTTATTTATTTTGAGATTTATGTCATACTCACAAATGAATAACTTGTTTTAACTACTTAGGCATATCTAGTTTCTGATCTTTAGGTACATTTACAAATTAAATATACATAAACATGTGTATATATACATGTAAGGATTAGTAAATAATTATTTGATACTGAAATTCCATTTATTAGTAATTATTTATTTTCTGTTCACTTTGTCCTATATTTTATTATTTTCGTAAGCATAGTTTTACTCTTTTGCATAACTTTAACCTTTATTATCCCTAAAGGCTTGAATTTTTAAAAACTCTCTATTTGGGAAATCTTAGGTAACTTGTATGAAATGCAAAGATAGGTCTTCTAACATTTATCACTTAACATTGACTTAGATTCCCTTACCCTTCTTTTCCTGAAGTTTCTCAGTTGTATCTTGTATGTTGGCACATTTTTTTTTTTTTAATTATTTCAATAGCTTTAGGGGTATAAGTGATTTTTGGTTACTTGGATGAATTGTATAGTGTTGAACTCTGGACCTTTAGTGCACTTGGCATCTGAATAGTGTATGTCGTACCCCAGAGGTAATTTTTCATCCCTCCCCTCCTTCTCTCCCTCCCCCCTTCTGAATCTCCAGTGTCCATTATAGCACTCTGTATGCCTTTGGAGACCAATAGCTTCACTCTCACTTATAAGTGAGAATGTGAAATGTGTGATATTTGGTTTTCTGTTCCTGAGTTACTTCACTTAGGATAATGGCTTCTAGTTCAATTCAAGTTGCTGCAAAAGACTTTGTTTTGTTTCTTTTGAAGGCTAAGTAGTATTCCGTGGTGTGTGTGTGTGTGTGTGTGTGTGTGTGTGTGTGTGTGTATGTGTGTGTATGCCATATTTTCTTTATCCACTCATTGGTTGATGGGCACTTTGGTTGATTCCACATCTTTGCAACTGTGAATTGTGCTGTGATAAACATACATGTGTGGGTTTCTTCTTTGCATAATTACTTCTTGTCCTTGGGAAAGATACTGAGTAGTGGGATTCCTGGGTTTATGGTAGATCTACTTTTAGTTCTCTGAGAAGTCTACATACTGTTTTCCATTGAAGTTGTCCTGATTTATATTCCCACCCACAGTGTATAAGCACTTTCACTGCATCTGCACCAAAATTCATTTACTTATTTAGACTTTTTAATAATGGCCATTCTGACTGGGGTAAGGAGATATCTCTTTGTGGTTTTAATTTGCATTTCCTTGATGATAGGTGATGCTGAACATTTTTTCATATGTTTGTTGCCCATTTGTATATCTTGTTTTGAGAAATGTCTGCTCATGTCATTTGCTCACTTTTTAATGGGATACTATTATTATTGCTGATTTGTTTAAATTCCATGTAGATTCTGAAGAATAGGCATATCTCAGAGTAGTTTTGTATTCAGTTGCAGACCATCGCAATAAAGTGAACATTTCAAAAAAGTGAGTCACACCAATTTTTTTGGATTCTCAGTGTATATAAAAGTTATGTTTATACTCTACTGTAGTGTTGTGTGCAACAGCATGATGTCTACAAAAACCCCAATGTACATAGCCTAATTTAAAAATACTTATTGCTAAAACTGCTAATGATCATTAAGCCTTCCATGAGACTCAGATGATAATCTTTTTGCTAGTCATAATCTTTTTGCTGGTGGAGGGTCTTGCCTTGATGTTGATGGCTGCTGCCTGATAAAGGTGACGGTTTCCAAAGGTTGGGGTGGCTCTGAAAATGAGACAAATAAGCAATGAAGTTTGCCATATTGGTTGACTATTCCTTTTTCAACAGATTTTTCTGTAACATTTGATGCTTTTTGATAACATTTCACTTACAGTAAGACTTTTTAAAAATTAGAATCAGTTATCTCAAACCCTACCACTGCTTTATCAACTAAGTTCATGTAGTATTCTAAATCTTTTTTTGTCACTTCATCCCATGTTCACAGCATTGTCACCAGGATTAGATTCCATCCCAAGAAACCACTTTATTATTGATTCATAGGAAGCAATTCCTCATCCTTTAAAGTTTATCTATTAAAATTGTATTGTCTATTAAAGTTTGTGGGAAATTTGTGAAATTTCAGAAAATCATTCACACTTAATAAGCTCCACTTATAATTTGTGTTCTCTTCCTATTTCCAACACACCTGTAGTTACTTCTTCCACTGAAGTCCTGAACTCCTGTTAGTCATTCAAGAGGGCTGGAATCAACTTATTTCAAACTTCTCTGAATACTTATATCTTGACTTTATCCCATGACTCATGAATATTGTTAATACCCTCTAGAATGGTGAATCCTTTCCAAAAGGTTTTCAATTTACTTCATCCAGATCTGTCAGAGAAATCACTATCCATGGCAGCTATAGTCTTATGGAATGTACTTCTTAAATAAGAGACTTGGAAGTCAAAATCACTCCTTGATTTATAGGCTGCAGATTTGTGTTAGCAGGTGTGAAAACAACATTCATCTCTCTGTACATCTCCATCAAAACTTTGTTTGACCAGTCGCATTGTCAGTGAGCAGTGATGTTTTGAAAGGAATCTTTTTTTCTGAGCGATAGTTCTCAATTGTGGGCTTACAATATTCGGTAAACCCATGCAGTAAACAGATTTGCTGTCATGCAGGCTTTGTTTTTCCATTTGTAGAGCACATAGAGTAGACTTAGTATAATTCTTCAGGGCTCTGGGAGTTTTAGAATGGTAAATGAGCATTGGCTTCATTAATGTAAACTCATTAGCTGCATTAGCTCCTAGCAAGAGAGTCAGCCTACATTTTGAAGCTTTGAAGCCAGGCGTTGACCTCTATAGCTATGAAAGTCCTAGATGGCAAAGTCTTTCAATATGAGGCCATTTTGACTGCACTGGAAATTTGTTAAGTGTAGTGATCAACTTTGTCAGTGATCTTCGCTAGGTCTCCTGGAGAACTTGCTGCTTCACCTTGCACATTCATATCATGGAGATGGCTTCCTTTTTTAAACCTCTTGAACCACCCTCTGCTAGCTTCAGACTTTTTTCCGGCAGCTTCCTCACCTTTCTTGGCCTTCATAGCATTGACGAGAGTTAGGACCTTGCTCTGGAGTAGGCTTTGGCTTAAAGGAATGCTGTGGCTGGTTTGTTCTTGTATCCAGCTCACTACAACTTTCTCAATATCAGCAATAAAGCTGACTGACTTTTTAATCATTTGGATGTTCGCTGGAATAGCACTTTAAATTTCCTTCAAGAACTTCTCTGCATTCACAACTTGGCTAACTGTTTAACATAGGAAGCCTAGCCTTTGGTCTGTCTCTGCTTTTGACGTGCCTTCCTCACTAAGTTTAATCACTTCTAGCTTTTGCTTTACTGTGAGAGACATGTGACTCTTCCTTTTACTTGAACATCTAGGGGTCATTAAGGTTATTAATTGGCCTAATTTTAATATAGTTATGTCTCAGGGAACAGGGAGGCCTGAGGAGAGGGAGAGAGATGGGGGAATGGCTGGTCAGTGGAGCCATCAGGACACACCAACCTTTGTCCAGAAAGCCCTCTGTCTTAAGTTGGCAGTTTGTGGCACCCTAAGACAGTTACAACAGTGACATCAAAGATCTCTGACCACAGATCAACATAATAGATACATTGGGAGAATTGCCATAATGTGACACAGTGGCACCAAGTCAGGACATGCTGTGAGAGAAATGGCACCAATAGACCTGCTCAGTGTAAGCTTGCTGCAGACCTTCAGTTTGCAAAAAATGCATTATCTGCAAAACTCAGTAAGTGGCATAGAACAAGGTTTGCCTGTAATTCTATAGTTCATCATTTATTTGCCCGTCTCTTCCACTACGTTTTGAGTACCTTAGAAAAAGTAGGATATCTTAGACATCCATAATATCTAGCACATAGTTATGTCCAGTGAGTGGTTATTGTCCATAATTATTCCTAATATTGTTGGCTTCATTGAATCCATTTAAATGGACTAAGGGAAAAAGTACGAATTAGTTTTATTATTTACTCTAAAACAATGGCTTTTATGTTTGTTATCTTAAGTTTTTAATGTGTCTCCACAGTTCATATTCAAATATATCTTTTCAGTTTTGGAAGAATTTGTTTTCTATTTAGTCTTAAGACACTTAATGCAAACAGTTGTACTACTCTGCTTCTCGTGAAGGTATTATATTACTGCACTGTAGAAAAATCACTACTTCCCATCATCATTTAAGCATGTGTAGACTTTCCTATTAAAACATGCAACTCCCAAGTAATTCCCGGATGCAGAAGCTGAGCACCATTGTTTTTTTTCTTCTTTCTTTTAATCAACAAAACCCTTCCTGAGAAGAAGGTGCTGGGAGAGACTCAGTGGGGGCTCGTGAGCAAGTGGCCAGGGCTCTCCTGGTGAAGCAGCTGGTGCTGTTTGGTCCCTAGTGCCTCCAGGGTCACAGAAACCAAGTACCGTTTTTTTAACTGACAAAAGTCTTCCTGGGAAGACGCTGTGGGGAGAGACTACTGGCTCCAGGCTCTGCTTCACCACTGCGGTGGGAGAGACTGTCGGCCCCAGGCTCTGCCTCAGCACTGCAGCACCTGGCCGG